ATATAATTTAATGTAAAACTTGATAAACGCACCAAAATAAAAAAAAATACACAGCAAGGGGAAGAATCCAAGTTTGGGCAAAGATATCAAGCACAAATAAAAATAAAGTAGGATTGATACTGTTCATATCAGGTAAAATGGAATTTACTAGGAAGTACAGGGCACATGACATGGGAAGTCCTTAAGCGGCAGTTACATGTTGGTTCAAACACACTCCTGTTTCCGGGTCGGTCTCCTCCTTTTTCAGGCAAGAAGGAGGATCTTCCAAGTAAGGCATGGCCGTGGGACTTGTTTTGGCCAATTAAATGTGAGTGTAAGTCTCCTACATCAGCTCCTGGTCCCTCTATGTGTGACCTCCCAGCACGCTGCTTCTGGACCCCCCAAGGGAGGAAACCTGCTCTGATTGGGAGATGCAACTGCTCAGCCATTGTTTGGTAAGGAGCTGCTCTGGAGGGCTGCCCAGACCCACAGCAGACTTTGGACAGCCAAGAAATAAATCTTTATTTTAAGCCGCTGAAATTTGGGGGCTGGTTGTTACCACAGCATAACCTCACATATCCCAATACATACATTAATACTGAATCTTTATGTTCTAAAGAAGTAACAACTATATCACTATTAAAATATAATGATAAATAGAGAAAAAAATTACAGTGCATTTTTCCATCATGATTAGTCTTCAGTGAATTCATAGAAGGTCAGAAGATTTGAGCCTAGTAACATAAAAGGCAAAATGCATTAAATGCTTACAGAACTTTGAGCAGTGCGAACATATTCATCTAATTGTTTTTTAAATTTATTTGACAGACAGAGATCACAAGTAGGCAGAGAGGCAGGCAGAGAGAGAGGAGGAAGCAGGCTCCCTGCTGAGAAGAGAGCCCGATGCAGGGCTCTATCCTAGGACCCTGGGATCATGACCTGAGCCGAAGGCAGAGGCTTTAACCCACTGAGCCACACAGGCACCCCTATTCATCTTATTTTTAAAGTATTCATGAACTTTTACAAAAGTGATTACAAAATAGGAATGAATAATTTCATAAAGCAGAGAGTATATAAACACTGAGTCTAAGCTCAGTAAAACTAAAATTAATTGAGGAAAAATTAAATCCCACTTGGAATTATCAGGGGGAAAAAAAAATCTAAATCGGGGCACCTGGGTGGCTCAGTCGGTTAAGCCTCTCCCTGCCCAGGGAGGAACCTGCTTCTCCCTCTCCCCCTGCTGTTCTTCCCCTGCTTTGTGCTCTCTCACTCACGCTCTCTCAAATAAATAAATAAATAAATAAAATTTTAAAAAATCAAGTCAACAGATTATTGAGAAGATAAAAGTCAGAATGCCATATATCAAAATTTGGGGATATGAATACAGCCATACTCAGAAACAAAAATTAAATTACAAATTTGGAAAAGGTACAGGGAATTGTTAAGGAAACCGATATAAATAACATTATTAAGTAAAAAATATACGAGCACAAATAGATCAGAAAATAGCAAAACAGAGGAATTAATTAAGAGCCTGTGTCCTGGTACCATAAAAAAGGGAAAAACATTACAGAAGTAGATAAACTTCTGCCCCTTGCAAATCCGAATGTACTTTGTTGGCCAACAGTTCTTGGCTCCCAAGCTGTTTCTGGAGAGGGCCAAACTCCCAGCTCTCCGAAGTGACTGACGGACAATGTGATGTCAGAATCAGGAAGAATCAGGAAGGACAGACCTCACTGAGGTGCCTGAGAGAGAAACACCTCCCAGCCTCAGCCTATAGACTATCAGGCACCAGCAGGAGAGGGATCGAGGAAGGGAGAGGGTGGGGTATTTCTCTCTGTTTTGGGGACACGTCCTGCCCCACCATAGGACAACCCCTACACCCAGCTCCAACTCAGGGACAGCTTCTCCTTTCCTCCCAGGGGAGGAACTGGCCACCCCCTGGCTCCTCGGGGGCACCTGTCCACACCTCTGCGATGGAGTAGTCCCTTCCGTAAAGCCTCTTCCTGTGAACCGTCTGAGTCAAATTCCATTTCTGATGCGACGCTGACTGTGGCTCCCTTCCCACTTACATGGTCCATAAGAGAGGGTCAGGCTCCTTAGTCTGCCCCTTTCCAGGCTCTGAGCCTCTCTGATCACCCTCAGAGCCCCCCTGCTCCCATGCAGTCCCTTTCGGACCACCCCTTTGGGGTCATGGCTGTCACGGGAGGACCTACAACATCTTGGGTGCATGGAGTGGGGTGGTGGACTCCTGGAACCACGAGCCTGGCCGAGGACCTGGAGAGGCTGCCTCCCTAGAGCTCCCATCACCTCCATCGCAGGTGCAGGGATGGTATATCTCTGGAACCATTCCTCCCAGGTGGTCCTGGCTGTCGTGGCCACCCCGCATGGGACAGAAGCTGCGGGTTCCCCAGGCAGCTTTGGAGGTGAGGTGCTTGTGGAGATGGGGGAGACCAAGACCCAGACAAGAGGATTGGAAACTCTTGGGTAATACCACCTGGGGAAATCTCTGAAGGTTTTAAAACTTGTCTTATTATTTATGGAATATTTGTCTATCTTTCCTGGCTTTTCAGCAGAAATTCCTGCCGGGATGGACATGTCCTTGTCACTGCTGCGGAAGCAGCCATAGCATTTCAGGTTTGGATAGCCAAGGAGGACAGGCTGTCTAACACCATCCTCGCCCAACAGACCGAGGAACTGCCTTCCAGCTTGTGGGGATGGAAGCTGACAACTGAGTTGTGCGTGCTATTTGTGGACTAATTCATGGGTGAGGGCTACTTGGTAGGAAAACATGTGTACTTGGGCTTGGGGTTACCAGCATCCTAGATCCTGTCCAACTTTTAGCTGGGTGACTTCCTGAATCCCAGAATTCTCCCTGCTTGAGTCTTTGGACTGAGGGGAGAGGTATGTACCTCGCCACCAGCAAAGCCCACAATGTACCTGTTGCCTTCTTGTTCCCCCTGCTTCTGCAGCCCCCCTCTGAATCCCCTGACATGGGGTCTGCAGACAGCACAGCAAACTGAGGCACTGGTGAGGCCTGAGTGCTGGAACCCCTCACCCTCATTGACACCTTCTGAGTTCTGAGCCTCAGAGGTGGGGTGAGACCGAGGAAGACAGCCATGTCCCCGAATAGCAGCTCCCCACTCCCCAGGCAGAGGTGGAAGTTGACGGGGTGGTGGGAAGGTCCCTAACCTTCTGCAGCTGAAACCTATCTTAAAAACAGTTTTCTCACCTGGACGAGGTAACTGGGTAGTCCTGAGAGCCTGCAGCAGCAGAGAAGGAAGGCATGGAGTTCAGAGGCCCGCAGAAGGCTGGGTGCTCTGGTCTCCTTCCCCACATGCCAGTTTTCCAGGGCAACCACTCAGCCAGGTCTGCCGACCTGTGACGTCGGGACCACACTGTCCCAGTTCCCCTGAGCAGGGTTGTCATATATATCCCCAGCTGATATAACCAGCCCAAAAGGCTCTTTTTGTCCCTGCTCTCACCAAACAGGGGACAGAAGACAGACGGCAGGGGTCACTATGTCGAGGATGCGGTGAGATGATCTTGGAGTTATTTGATTTTCTGGCAGGTTTCAGACCAAGGGATTCTAAATAGTCATAATGTCACAGTCAGGCTGCACAGGGCAGAGGCATAACTGCTGGCAGCTTCGCGTGACGAGACACACCACAACCACTGGCAAAGCAAGCAGACTGTGCAGACACAGAAGCTCATGCCTCCTCGCTGAGGACTTCGGCCTCTGTCCCTGTTGACCATGACATTCACTCTAAGATCAAATGACCCACCGTTTGCGTTTGTGCGCGAACGTTCACACGGTAACCTGGCCAATTCTGCAACCCACACGGAAACCTGAATCTCCCCAAACAGGAGGGAAGTTTCCAGTTCTTTCCCTCCTCTCCTAACAGCGAGAAGATGGAGTAGAATTAGAGGAACTTCAGTCAGCTAAATTCCATCTTAGTTTAATTCACAGCTTCTGCCTTCTCAGCTATGAAGGGCTCTGAGCAGAGCCTGCCGACCTGGCCAAACTGGTCAGACTCATCAGAGACAAAATGTATGTGGCGAGTCCTATCCCTCCCACCCTGGGGGGCTCAGATTCAGTCAATCAGGGCCTGGTAGGGGCAGGAGTCTTTACTTTTAACAAAATCCCCAGGATCTTTTTTTTTTTTTTTTTTTTTAAGATTTTAGTTATTTATTTGAGAGAGAGGGAGGAGAGAGAGAGAGAGAGAGAGCATGAGTGGGTAGGGGAAGAGGGAGAGGGAGAAGAAGCAGGCTCCCCACTGAGCAGGGAACCCGACATGGGGCTTGATCCCAGGACCCTGGGATCATGACCTGAGCTGAAGGCAGACATTTAATCTACCGAGGAGCCACGAAGGCTCCCCAAGATTCCCAGGGCATTCTGATACAAACAAATCCAGAATCGGGAAGCTGGTTGAACCCACAGTGGGAGGGAAGAAAGGCAAAAGCCTTCTCTTCACATTTCCTCTCTTCCTCACTCTAATATCTTAAAAAACAAATGTGGTAAGTAAATAAAGACAGTTTTCAAGATGTTCATGGAATGACTTTTTTTTTTTTTACATTTTTCCACTAGTTAAGACAAAAACATTACAATGATTGACTTCTTTCATTTAGTTACATAAATAAAATTTTTATAAATATCTCTTTATAAACAATATAAATAGCTTTACAACATAAATACATTTATGCATGACATGAATTTACAAACAGCAACGTTTTACAGCTGGTTTTGTCAGTCTCTTCAAAACTGCCCCTTGTCATCACGATCGTGCAGGTGTGTGTGTTGCATGTATATAATATATATATATATAATATATAACTTTTTATTTTTCATTTTCAAAAAACAGACAAATAATAAAATCATACCCCCCTTCCCAAATAATAATAAAACAGCTGGTGTTGTGTATTCCCAGTACCAGGAAAAAAAAAAAAAGAAAAGAAAGAAAGAAAGAAATGTAAAAGCCACATTATGTTGGAGGGGTTTCCAGATGGCTGATGACCAAGAATGACCTCAGCAAAACGGAGCAAGTTCCCGATCCTGAAACACAGAGGGGACATGGGACACTTAGCTGAGAAAGCCCAGCCTGCAGGACAGTCCCTTTTCCACGGCAGTGGGAAGCAGCATCCCACCTGGGCTGACCTGGGGGGAGGGTGGGAAGGGGCCCCCCTCTGGCCCTCCCCTCACCTCCTGCTGTGTCTTTGGCGCTTCCTGCCCCAGCACAGGTGGACTGAGGATGTCTGCCAGCCCTCCTCCCCCTCAGTGTCCCTGCAGGCCTGGCCCATGGCACTGGGTGAGGCACAGGAAGGGGAGGAGAGTGACAATGCTCTCGTCCCTTTTTTTTTTGCTCTGACACAAACCCTCCTCGGGGTGCTTTCTGTGTCTGTGTGACAGCAGAGGAAAGGGGAAGACAAACATCTGAGGAGCTGGGAGTTCTGGGCTCGAATCCCAACTCTGACATGAACTTCCTGGATGGCCCAGGATAGCTTTGAGTATCGCTTTCCTCACCCATAAAATGGGATAATAGCCACCTCCCAGGGCTGGCTTTAAGATTCAACAGGGGGCCACACTTTGGGCATTGGCCGAGTGTCTGGGTCACAGCTGCCCCTCATTAAATAGCACTTCCTTCTCCAGCTTTCTGCGCCTCACAAAGGGTCCCCTTCGGATGCAGAGGAAACGGAGTCTCACACCAGCCCTGGGACAAAGAATGGTCATACTGGGTTCGCTGGGTTGAGAGTTGAGTCCTTTGATGAGGGCTCTACCAGATCTCTGCTAATGGGCGTGTGGGTGCTGTGTGGCCCAAGGAAGGAGTCCCCCTGAGACGGTGCCCTCCCAGAGGGCAGCACACACAGAGGGACCCTGGGCCTTGGTGAACTGTCCCTCACCTCCCATCTCTGGGTGTCCCATGTGTTTAAACAGATGATAGATATCTGTGATGTCCCTGGGGCTCCTGGGCAAGGTGTTCATTCAGGCATTGGCCACACTCCGTCTCTGTCATTAGAATTTTATAATCAAGACTATAACCATCAGCGACAGTCATTATGGTGGCTGCTTAGAGTCAAAGTCAACTCCTGAGTGAAGAAGTGGCCACAGCCTGGGACGAGTTTTCATTGATGTGAAAAATCTAAGCTGTCTCTTTCTTTGAAGCTGAGACAGTGAGCTGCCCTGGTCACCTCCGCTAGGAGGCTGCCGGTGGCAGGAAGGATGCTGTCTTTTCGTGACAGCTGTGGCGTGAGGCTGGGGCTGGGAAGGTTAAGGTGTGGAAGGTGGCTGTTCAGCTAAAGGACAGAACTTTTGGGGGTGTTGACAAATCTCCCTGGTCAAAGGGGCTGAGACGTCCTAGCAAACTGCCTCCTCCCCAGCTCCTCCCCACCCGCTGGACCATCACTTGGCACCCCAAGATGGCGACGCCCAAGGCCAAGGACCCTACGGGAATGTGCCTGCCAGACATTTTCCAGGCCCCCTTCCTCATCTTGTCTCCCGCTAACCCGTTGAGTAACATTTGTTTAGATTCTAAAGCTTGAGGTTGGTGCTTAGATCGCAGCGTGAACTGAAATTATGAGGTCTGTGGCTCCATCGCTTCATTGTTTAGACAGGACAGAGGAGAGCAAAGCCATGACAATGGACGCCACTACAGGCCAGAATCACCTCTTCCTGGGCAGAGGTGAGTCAAGATCTCAGACAAATGAAGCCCCTGCAGAAATGGGGGGGAGGGGCACACAGTCAAGTCTGGCTGTATGGATGGGAAACCCTGCTAAAGCCCAAAGCGGGTGGGAGAGGGGTGCCCCTAAGCTGGGGGGAGGGGCATGTTTCTCTGGTCATTGACAAACATTTTTCGGAGCCTCTTTGGGGGTGCCGTGTGTTCCAGATCACCTTAGGCTAGCACTTGGCCCTGAAGTTGCTCATGAGTTCATCTGGGGGAGCTAAGTAGGTTTCCAAGCAACTACGGCTCACGTGGAAAAGGGTTCTGTGCTGTCAAAAAGGCTGGAGAGGGGTGCTCTCTTTGCCCTCTGGGGGAAGACAGTGTGGATGCTGACAAGGCCTTTTGGATAAGAGAGCCGCCTCCCCATGGTCTCAGAGGGGGACAGACAGCTGTGCAATCCAGATTGGCTGCAGCCAGGCCGCTGGAAAAGGCTGGAGACCAAAAAGAGTCAGATCCTAAATCACCTGAATGTCAGCTTCAAAGGTGGGCTCTGTTTCTGGGTAAGAACTGGCCAGCAGGATGGGACAGGAGGGGGGAGGCGGGGAGGACCTTTGCAACACTGCCAGGAGGCAGCACCCGGCAGGGGCTGAAGGGAGCACAGGGGTTTCCAGCCCTGGTAGAGAGTGAGGAGGCCACAACAGAAACTGGGGTCCCGAGCATGGTGGAGGCAGGGAGACAGTAAGGAGCTCAGTTTGGGACATGTTTAGGTTCAGGTTGGGGGGAAAAAAAAAAGATTTATTTTAGTCTTTTTCCCTGCCCTGAAATAATGCCACAAACACTGATTTTCCATCCGGAAATCTCTCAGGCAGCAAGCAGCATCAGCACCCTGGACAGACCGGTCTGCTCACAGCCAGGGCTTAGAGGTGGAAGAAGAATCAGAAAGCTCTGGAGCAGAAGGGGATCCTGGTGATGCGGACAGAGGGCTATTCTCTCTATTGTGAAGGGGCAAGTATTTCTCCAGATATGCCCAAGTTCAACTGGGGAAGCAGTCCTGACCTGCAGGATGCCTGATGCCTGATGCCTGGGCACCAGGATACCAGAGGCTGGTAGATAAACTTACCCTCTGCTTGTGTGTATGCCCTCCCTTTTCTGCTCCCACAAACCCACCATCTCCCCTCAATACCCTCAAATGGCCAATGGAGACCAGTTTTGCTGGTTGGCTTATGGTCTGGAGGTGGACAGGACCCCACCAAGTTGTCTCTGCTTCTCTAAAGGAACTAAGGTGGGTTCATCCGTGTTGAGCCATTTCTGACCTTGCCAAAGTTCCCTGACCGCTTTATCCCTCGCTTTCTTCATCTGTAAAATGGGACGGTAAATGGGGTTGGGGGCAAATGCCTCGCACACACACTCGTTCTCGTGCCGGGATCGCCTGGCTCTCCTCCAAAGGTCGGCTGGGAGGCAGAACGATCCCAGCGCCAGGGCATCGGAGAGGAACTGGCCTGCGGGCGGGGGTTCAGGCTTGGTTCTGCGGGACGCCGCGGGGGAGCTAGGTGTGCACAAGCTCCGGGAGGCCAGGGTTGGTGGTACTCACCGCCGCCAGGGGTCGCCGCACTAACATCCCAAGCCGCTCATGGAGCCGATCCGGTCCAGCTTGAGGCCGAAGCAGCCCTTGGACAAGCCCTTCTTGTTGCCTCCTTTGTATTTGCGCGCGTTGGGGTGCTCATGCAGAAGGCGGGCCCACGCCGCCCGCGACTTGGTGTCCACGCGCAGGTCGCGGAGCAGTCGCGACCGGTCGCCTTTGAGGTTGGCGCCGCCGCCCCCGGGAGATTTGTCGCCCTTCTTCTGACTGCCGCCCGCAGCCTGGGGCTCGGCCAGCTCCTCCCCCGGCGGAGTTCGCGGGACCTGTCCGAGGGAAAGGGCGGGCAGGTGAAGGGACGCCCGGCGGCAGCGCGAGGTACTTTGCGGGACCCCTGATGCTCCAGCCCGACGCGCCCGCCAGCGCGATTTGTCCCTTCGGAGCCCTGAGCGCGCCCCCACAGCTTCCGGACAGCTCGGCGCGGCATCCACCTGCCACGCAGCCGCCGTTGTACGCTCCTTCGGGGAGCCCCTTGCCCTCCCCTCTTTGGCTCCTGCCGGGCTGGTCACACTGGGGCAGGAGCTGCGCATCTGTCGACATTCCCGAGGCTGGGGACGTAGACCCCCCAAGTTGGTTTGGAGGGCTCCCCGGCTCTCACCCGTGCACAGCTCGGAGAAGAGGGCCATCTTCCCGCCCTCTGCTCCGTCTTGCGCGCCGCGTCCTCCTAGGCCCCCGGCCCTCCCATGGCCCCTCACAGTCCCGATGTCCATGCAACAGCACCCACCTTCGGCGGCGCCCCGGGCTTGGCTTCGGAGGGCCGGAGCGAGAGTAGCGTGAGCAGCAGGGCGCAGGCCAGCAGCTGGGAGAGGTGCATGGTGCTGGTGGGGTCGAGGGGCGCAGACCGGCGGCAGCGAGGGCGCACGGGGGCCGGCGGGCAGACAGGCAGGCGAGCGCGGAGCAGGCTAGCCGGGCTGCGGTGTGGGCGCGAGTCCCAGTGTTGCGCGGCGCCGGCTGGGTGCGCTCTGAGCCCGCGGCTCCGCTCGAGCCTTTATAATCCAACCTGCCGCTGATGTCATCCTCCCGCCCACCCCGCCGCCCGGGCCAATGGCACGCGCGCCGAGGGCCCAGAGGGGGCCGCGGGGGCTCCCCCACTGCCCCCACCTACATTCCACCCCCGAGGGATCCCGCGGCTCCGCCAGCTCTCTCCCGCCGCACTCGCGGCTGCAAGGCGGCGCGCACAGGGAACTCCATTTGCAGCGAGCGCATGCCAGGCATGCCAAGCGTTGGTGCTCCCGGTGCCCTGGACACACGCTTGGACCTCAACACATGCCCTCTCCCTAGAAGAGATCAGTTTCCCTTTTTGCAGGTGCAAAGACAGGCTCAGAGGAACTAAGTCACTTGCCCAAAGCCACACAGCCGGAAAGTTGGCCCAGCAGGAAATCCACGCAGATCTGTCTTGTTGCCAAACTCTTCCCTGGGTACCAAACAGGCACAGGCCTGGTACTGTGGCTCCACCTTTCACCTACTCAGAAGTTCAGATCGCACCCACGTCTTTAAGTTAGGAAGGCAGAGGATGGGGCCGAGGTCTGGGCGGGAGGCGCAGGAAGAGCGAGGTTTGCCCGGGGGCCGCAGGGGGGAGCGCAAGTCCTACAAGGGAGAGTGCAAGCTTTTCGCCTGCGGGTGTGTTGGAGAGTGACTCGCGAACGAGAAGGGCTAAGAGGTAGGCCCAAGATACTGGTGCTGGGGCGTGGGTGCGGTAGCATTCTGTCCTGTTCCTGGGGCTGTAAGTTCGCGTTCAGCCTGGGTCCGCCACCCAGAACCGCCCAAAGTCTGACCCGGCAGATGGCTTCCGTGTGCACTCACGGGTGCGCGTCGGGGCCTGTCTGCACCTATGCGAGGAACCGCAGCGCGAGCAGGTTCGCTGCCGTGTCCTATGCACCTGCACGAGCTGGGGAGGGAGCTTCACCCAGCCTGGAGCCCAGTATGGCTTCCGAGAACTGTGAAAGGCGGTTGCCTTCATTTTTTTTCAGGCTTAGATAGGTCTGTGTCAAAGCTGTCAGGACAAAGTCACCTATACCAGCTGCTCACAACTCCCTCTCCTGGGGCAGGGTGTCTTGGTGCCTTGGGCTCAGAGAAGTCCCTTGAGGATGGGCCGTGGAGGCAGAGAGCCCGGAGCCTCAAGAATTGAGTGGGGTGCAGAAATATATGATTCCATTGCCCCCCCAGCAGGACTCCGCTGGAGAGCACACAACAGGGGCGTGGAGGTGGTCCCGAAGCTTGAAGACCAGAGCCAGAGGCAGGTGCCTGGATGAGCTGTTTCAGGGAGAGGAAGCTGTGCCCCAGGCGAAGGGCAATGGCCTTCAAGAAGGGCAGGGGGAATCAGGTGCCACGTGGGTACTTCCCACAGCCGGGCCTGGGCCTAGATGCAGGAAGCATTGGCACAACTGTCCCTTCGGGCTCTCTCCTTCCCATCTGGCACTGCAGACCCATGGAGCCCAAGGTCCCTTTGGGTTGGAAATAACCTGCACCCAAGGTCCGAGTTTGGGGTAGTGGAATTTCTGAGCCTGGAAGAGGATTCAGACATTGACAGGACATCCTTTGGGAGTTCTGTTGAGTTGATTCCCACTTCCATGCAACCCCCCCCCCATTGCTGCTCCATGATAACACCATAGAGTGGCACCACTCTTTCATTTGAGGAGTAAGGAAGAGGAGCAAGAAGGGGAAAAGAGGGAGGGATTTCTGGGTGGGTGATGGAGGTCTTCTCTCCTCTACGCCTACTGATCAGAGGAGAATGTTACCAATCTGGAACTTCTCTGGATTTGCTTTATTTACACATTTTTAAAGAGCTGTGCAGAATTGACTAGGACCAGGCATGGGGCTCGTTTCCAGGGGACAACAGCTACCTCTGAAACCTCTTATTAAGGACAGGTTGGAAGCTTCTGGTGCGCAATGGTTACCTCCTTCTGTCTCAATATCTGTAGGCTGGTTCTTCCTGTCTTTTGTATGTCTTGGACGTACTTGGTGACAGCTGGCTAACTAAGTCTCCCCTTTCTTTGAGCTTTGAGACTAAACTAAATAAACCAACCTCACCCAGCCCCGCCCCATGTGGGCAGACTCTCAGACTCTACTTCCCCTCTTAGGAAGTAGAATCTTCTGGTGAGCCCCCAGCGCTGACCACTGGGCTATGGTCATTTGCTGCAGACCAGATCCTGGGACGGTCACCTTGTGGAGTGAGGCTTCCCTGGGGTGGGCCAGGGAGCCGCTCCTGCTTAGCTGGGGCCTGGAAGGTGGGGTGGATAGCAGTTCCAGGACTAGGCTAGAGGAACCTTCAGGAAAGGAGGTAGTCAGAGTGTCATTCCCTTGGGTTTCTCCCACAGTGAAATGCAGAGGAAGCTCCCTCCCTCCTGGGTCAAGAATGGGGACTCAGGTTCCTCCTTTCTGCTTTTCCCTCCTAACGTCCACTTTTTCTGCTCTGGCCCCAGGGGCCAGGCCTGGGAAAGCTGGACCCACTGAGTAGCGGAACAGGAGCTGTTGGCGGCCCTTTATTGAATGCTCAGTGTGAAAACCCCTCCTGACGGCGAAAGAGAAAAGGCCACTCAGAGGTCTGGCAGTTCTGTAGGGAATCCTGTCGCGTATCACTTATCCACCCATTGATTCCCCCGGGTATCCACTGAGCACTGGGGCAGCCTGTGGGGTCCCATCCCTGCAGAGAAGGACCCCTGGAAACAGTCACTAGCTTTATAGGCAGAAAAGGACATGGTGGGGAGGGAGGGCAGCCCCCCCCCCCCCCCAATTTGGGCTAGCAGGGAGGGCTTCCTGGAGAGGAAAAGTCTGCGCTGAGCAAAGAAGGGACCTGGCAGGCAGGAGGAGAAGGCCTTGGCTCCCTGTGGGCTAACTGTGGAGCACACCCAGGCTTAGTGGGGTGCAGTACAGGAAAAACAAACAAGGAGCAGCCTCCCCAAAGGGTGAGTCCTTGAAACGGAAGGAAGCAGGAGGGGAGCCCCTAGGTGTTGCAGAGCCCTGCGTGCTTAACCTCTGGGACCCTGGCAAGTCAGCAGAGGTAGGTTCTGGAGGCATTTGTGATAAAGAGGGGGAAGGGCTTGTCTGGCAAGGGTGAGAGCCTATTGTGCTCTGGAGGGTGGGGAGGAAAAGCAAGTTTGGGGGCGGAGGCAGGCATGAAAGATGAGGTGGAGGGAGAGTGGTCAGTCAGGGGGAGGGACAGAGAGATAACAGGGACTGGGGAAAGTCAGAGCCAGGCTGAAGTGTGCCATCTGAGAGTCACACGGCTGGGACCCTCTTCTCCCTTCTGGACCTCTGAAAGGTGGGGACATGGAGAGAAAAGACTCCCATTTCCCTTTTTCTCCTCCATGAAGGCGAGGGCACTTCCTTGGGACAGCCGGTGTCTGCTTGGCTACCAAGACCCTATGGAACATGAAGAGGGCCTTGATCAGTATTCCCCGGGTGAGAAAGGTGTGCAGAATGGCTTCTCTGAGGCTGGGGATGGGGTAGTTAAGACAAGATTGCCCAGCTCTCCACCCAAGAGGTGGGAACCGGCTCTCTGTAGAACAGCGCCCCCTCCCGGCATTGGGGTAAAGCGGGAGGCTTCTCAGGCTTACAAAGGAAGGGAGGAATCCTCAGCCCCCATCTGTTTTCTCTGCGATTATTTCATCCCAGGGGCCTCCTTCCAGCTGCATAACTTCCCAGAGAGGACACTGAACAGGCGGTGAGCAGATCTTACCGAGGCCGGGCAGGGAAACTTCAGCGGGACCCTGGCCAGGTCCCATCACTGCTCTGGGCCTTCAGTTTCACCACCTGTAATTGTGAAGAATCTGTACTTGCCTCCTGGATGGGGTGGTGGGGCGGGGGTAGGGAGGGCAGAGTGAATCAGGAGGCTTGACAAGAGGCTTCCAACCCCTAGACAAAGGCGGGATGAGCAGCTGGGGCAGCAGAGGAATCTGAATGTCATGGCACAAACACTCCCCCCAGGGAAGTGGGGAGACCCTGGGCCTCTGAGACCCCCCAGGACCACTTGGTGGTGGAGACCCACAGTGGAAATAGAGACCAAAGCTTGGCCGGGTCTACTTGGGCTTGGTGCCTCCTCTAGGAGTCCTCCACCTACAGGGCCTGGCCTTAAGACAGGAGCTGGAGGCCAAGGAAGCATTATCCATCCGTCCTTGGCCAGAAATTCCAGGAAAGCTTAACCTAATGGTGCCATGAGGTCTTTGTCTGACCCTAGGACACCCCCACCTGATGAGCCAGCTGCCCTCCTTCTTCTTTCCCAGGGGCTCTGCCAGCACCTGCTCCAGATGGCCTCCAACCCTGCTGTCCTACGCAAGCCCATGACGTCAGAGTTTATCCCTCCCCCCCCTTTTTTTTTTCTTTTCAAAAGTAAAAGACAGGGTTGATGGAGAGCCTCAATAGATAGGCTCAGTTCCCTGGGGGGAACAACTGCTCCCCGTGTGGCTTTGAACAGGCAGGCAAGGGAACATAGGCTAAAGCCTAATTCCTGAGAAAGTGAGAAGGGAGTTTATGGCAAGGGCCCTTCTGAGTCAAAGATGGTTTGGTATCCTAGGTTTTAAATTGGTACCCATTGTCTCGGAGAAGCCAGCCCCCCACGGAATGCTCTTAGTCACACCCAATGGCAATCGTCCCGGGTTGGGGTCCTGACACAGTGTTATCATAAATGTTGGTGGCCAGGAGCATCGTGGAAAGCCTCATCAGACCCACTCTGCCGCCTGACTTGTCCTGGATAAGCTGTTTCCAAGCCTTCTCGGATTGTCCAATACCCTTTGATAGATCCCTCTTCTACTTTACTCAGCCAATCTGTTTCTGTTGCTTTCAGGTAAGCTCCCTGAATGATCCCCAGGGCAACCC